TGGATCACAACAAGCTATGCCTGACTCTGAGAAGAATGGGAATCCCAGAACATTTGATTGTGCTAATGCGAAACCTATACTTGGACCAAGAGGCAGTTGTCAGAAGAGAGCAGGGAGACACTGGATGGTTCAAAATCAAGAAGGGGGTCTGTCAGGGATGTATTCTGTCTGCATACCTTTTCAATCTGTATGCAGAACAGATCATCTGAGACTTGGGGCTGTAAGAGGAGGAATGTGGCATCAGGATTGGTGGAAGAGTCATCAACAACCTGCATTATGCAGATGACACAACCCTGCTTGCTGAAACTGAGGAGGACCTGAAGCGCTTGCTGCAGAAGGTCAAGGACTGCAGTCTTCAATATAAATTGAAGCTCAATATCAAGAAAACAAAGATTCTCACCACTGGGCCAATTGGTAACATCAGTATGAATGGTGAAGAGATTGAGATAGTTAACAGTTTTAGTTTACTTGGCTCCAAAGTCAACACTCTTGGTAACAGCAGCCAGGAAATCAGGAGAAGAATTGCATTGGGAAAGTCAGCTGTGAGGGACCTCTCAAGAGTACTGAAGAGCAACAATGTCAAGCTGGAGACTACGGTGCGCCTGATCCAGGCTATAGTCTTTGCAATTATGTGTTATGCATCGGAGAGTTGGACGGTGAATAGGGATGATAGAGAATTGATGTCTTTGAGTTGTGGTGCTGGAGAAGAGTGTTGAATATACCATGGACTGCTAGGAGAACAAACAGGTTTGTCCTGGAGAGGGTGAATCCAGAATGTTCCCTGGAGTCAAGGATTCTGAAGCTTTGTCTGACATACTTTGGGCATGTTGCAAGGAGGGACTAGTCCTTGGAGAGAGACATCATGTTTGGGAGAGTGGAGGGATGGCACAGGAGAGGAAGACCCTCGATGAGATGGATCAATTCTGTGAGTGAAGTGGTGGGAATGAATGTGTTTGAGACAGCGAGGTTGGCACAGGATAGAACGGCGTTTAGGGCTCTTGTACATAGGGTTGCTATGAGTCGCAAATGACTCGATGGCACATAACAACAAGCAACAACATGTAAATCTTCAAATTTTTGTCTTATCTTAAACATCAAAACATAGTATGTGCTGGCATTTCCCCAGATAATCTTAGAAGGATCCACCTCTTTGAACAAAATTTCTATAAGCCAAAATAGTTTCAGATTTATTTTAGGTACTCAAGAATTTGCTGAAGCTAATGAAAATTTCATTGGGGAAATCTACTGTCAAGGAGCTTTAAAAGTAACAAAGAGCAATGCTGCCATTTTAAAGACTAAGGAGCATCTTCCCCAAGCCACAGACTTTTCAATTGCTTCATGTGCACATGGAAGTTGGAAAGGAATGAGGAAGACTGAAGAATAATTGATGCTTTTGAATTGTGGTAATGGAAAAGAGTATTGAGTATATCCTGGGCTGCCAAGAGAACAAACAAATCTGTCTTGGAAGAAGTGCTGTTGTGCTCCTTGGAGACAAGGATGGTGAGGCTTTGTCCCACTTACATTGAGAGTGTTAGCAGGAGAGGCCAGATGCTAGGGAAGGACATCACGCTTGGAAAAGAAGAGGGTCAGCAAAAGAGATGAAGCTACTCTTCATGATGGAATGATACAGTGCCTGCAATGATGAGCTTAAGTGTAGCCAAGATTGTGAAGCTGGTGCAGGGTTGGAAAAGGATTTGAACTCTTGTACACAGGTTAACTGTAAGTCATAGTTGACTTAACAGAACCTCAAAACAATGGTGAAAATTTGCTTCAAACAAGTGGCAATAGACAGTAGACCACCTGAGATTCTTTAGTAGCTAGCTGGGTGTTTGCTGTATAAAATGATGTTCATGGTTTTCAAGTCAATTCTGACTCACAGGGACCCTACAGGCTAGAGAACTGACCCATAGAGTTTCCAAGGCTTTAACCTTTACAGAAGTAGACTGTCCAGTGGAGCCCTGGAAGGTTTGAAATATGACCTTCTGGTTAGCATCTGAACCCTCAACCACTGTGCCATCAGGGCACAGTTTGATAAAAGTTGGGGATGTGGGGGGCATTTGAACTTTTGAAGATACACACATTGGAGTCTGGTGTGCAGTTCTTAATGGAATATTATGCACTGAAAAACAATGAACTCCTAAAACATTACACAACATGGGTGAGTCTGGAGGACAACATGCTGAGTGAAGCATAGTCATAAAAAGACAAACACTGTGTAACATGACAGTTATAAAATAGGACAGACATGGAGGGTTGGGGAGAGAATGGGGAAAGAGTGGATCGGTAATCTGCATAACAGATGAGGGGAAGAACTGTCCAAAAAGAATATGAGATTAGACATTATATATAAGACAACTATCTGGAACAGAGGGTGCATTGAGGAGTGGGCTGGAGTAGGGGGAAGAAAATGTGCAATAATGAATTTTAAAAAATAATATAAAAAAGACAGGGAAAAATAAAGCAACACAACTTTTAAAATAAAATAAAAAAAAAGAATGGAAGCCATTTTTGATAAGAGCTGTGGCCCTCTGCTCCAGGGCTTTGAGTGTTTTATATATACATACATATCATCCTCCACCCTGTACAGTAGGTACTGCTATTATCTCCAATCTCCAAATCAGAAAACTGGGGCATAAAGAGGTTAGATAACATGCCACATGATCAGTGAGAACAGAATCAAGATTAGTTTCAAAGCAGTCTGACCATGGAGCCTGGGCTCCAAACCATTATGCTACACTGCCTCTCTAAAATAGAATATTGAGTATTAGGTGATGCACAAAATACACTGTATTTTTTCATAGATCTGCACATACCTTGCTAAATATGGTCACCAATTGCCAATGTGGCCATCGTGCTACGTGTACCTAAAAATATAAATATCAAACTCAAAGCCCAACTTAATATATAAATGAAGATTAATTCAGAATAATAAGTTTCTTTAAGATTCACACCCCATCCCAGCACTTTTCCTCTCTATTTGTGAACATCCGTTAGCCTGTACTAACCATTTCCTACCCAAGACTTGACCTGGGTCTATGGGGCCTCTGCTTCTTCCAAGTCCTGTGTCTTTACCTGACATTTGAGGCCATGGGAATCAGCCCACATGGATTGTCTATATTTTCTTTGTCTGCATTAGCATTCTGCCTTTCCCCTCACCATCAAAAATGGTCTTTCCATGTCCTGCCTGATACTGTGTAGAGGATGTGGGGGGGTGGTTCCACATTCTCGGCCCATCCTAAATTTCTATCTTCTAAAAAGGGAGCTGCCTGGTTTAGAAAGTGGCTGTTTCACAGAAGTAAATCCTTAACGACTTGATCTCTTTCAGGATTCACATGAAAATGAGTGGTTGAAAGGGGAAGAAGGCCTAATGGAGAGCCAGTAAACTCACACAAGTAGTGATGAAGTGAGGCTAGAAAGGCTCAGTGAGTGTGAAAGACATTGGTAAACTGTAAAGTCCTTTACAGGCTCATAAACAAAGCAGCCCCATCACCACATTCTAAACCAGTTGTTTGTAAATTTTAGTGTGTATAACAATTACCTGGAGTTGTTCAGACAGTTTTCTGGGCCCATAGAATGTGCATTTCTATCCAGTTTCCAGGTAATGCGGATGCTGTGGATCTGGAAACCACATATTTTGAGATTGTTGGATTGGCAAACCCATCATATCGATATGAAGTAGGCAGCATGCATTCAAGTGGGGTTGCTATTACTCCTTTGTTGTCAGGTACTTGGGAATGGACTATGACTCATGGCGACCTTATGAACAACAGATCCCTGCCTTATTGGAAACTCCAGTAATTTGTTCTCTTCCACTTCCAGGTTGGCTGGTGCAGTTTGACTAAGGTTTATGGGAAGAGATTCCTTCCCACTTTCTCCAGAGTATCAACCTACCATTAACAACTCCTTTCTTATTTAAATGTGGCTCCACAGTTTCAAGGTACTCTCACATATTGTTTATAGATATGAAACACCAACTAAGGAATCAAATAAATAAGCTAGGTACTTAAAGTAGAGAAGGGATAACGAGGCAATAGAACACCCCCTCCCATTTGCAATTGCACCTCAGAATGTAGGCATGGTATCCTCAGACTATATTCTGGGGGGGGGGGAATGGGTGTCTCCCTCACAGTGTATACACGTACTATGTATACATGCAAAGTTAGAGCAAACAAGCAGTAATGACAGCCATCTCCACTGTGCACCATCCCCGCCTAATAACATGAGAGGGGTAAATCCCGAAGCCTTCACAAGGAAGCGCCCCTCAGGCACCTAACGCTGCTTTCTCCCACCGCCCGCCACCCCAGCTCCTACTCTGCAATTGCTCTCTGCAATGCTAAAACGCAGCAGCATCGCCCTCCAAACCTCTCCTGGGGGTTCGCACAGTGCAACCAACCCTAAACACGTCGCGGAGCGACGCCCCCTCTGCCCTCCGCGCTTCCCATTGGCTTGCTCTCGTTGTCACTCCCCCCTTGCCTAGCCTTCCCGCTCCCCGGCAGAGGCAGGCAGGCAGGCGGGCGGGGTAGGTTGCGCGCTGGCCGCTGGGCTGGGGCCGCGGCGGCGGCTTTGCAGCAGGGAGCGCGGCGCGCGGGGAGGGGGCCGGGCGAGCTGCCCGCTCGGGGGCCTGCCCATGTGGGCCGGGGGGCCGCGCAGCAGGGCCAGGGTCTGCAGTCCGCGCCAAGGGCGGCAGATTAGGCGCTGCCCGGCTGGAATGCCCCATGCCCTGCTTTGCCCAGGGGCCGGGCCAGCCAGGAGGGATGCGCTGTGCCGCCCAGCTCCCCTCAGCCCTACCCATGCCCTGAAGCAGAAAGTTTGGGGGCCAGGGGCCTTCGTCCTCCTCCCCTGCAATGACTGCCCAAGGACTTCTGCTGTCCAGCCTCGACTGTGACCCGCCTTCGGCTCCCCAGGCCGGAATGAACTATTAACAAGCAGTAACCAAGGCGCCCCTTCCTCACCTCTCCATCACTCTTTTATTTTCGTGTTTTTAATTTAAGACCTTCTGATCTGCTGACTCCCCTCTGCGTTAATCATTTAAACCCCTGGCCTTGTTCTGGAGTGTAAGAGAGGGTAACGGGCTCCTTCAGGACCGTGTGCTGGAAGGACAGATTCCCCTTGCCGACCCACGTACACCATGAAGAGGTGCAAATCGGACGAGCTGCAGCAACAGTCAGGCGAGGAGGATGGAGCGGGGCTGGAAGACGCCGCTTGCCACCTGCCGGGCCAGGACCTCCGCCCTGGGGAGGGCGCGGGTGCGAACTCTGCTGGAGGGCCAACTTCAGATGCGGGTGCTGCGGCGGCGCCCAACCCCGGACACCGGAGCAAGCCTCCTGATTTAAAGGTGAGCGCCGCCCCTCCGCTGGCAAACCCAGCCGGCCACTTTAGCTTTCCCCATCCCACGCACGAGTGCTCTAACCTGGAGAAACTGATAAGGGAGCGAGGCCGAAGTCAGAGAATATGAGCCCAGGGTCGAACCCGGGGCTACGCGCGTCAGGTACCATCTCTGCCTCTGTCTTTCAGATACATGGTAGGCCTGAGTTTTTGTCCCCCATTTTTTTCAGAAGACGTTCTAGTGACTCACCCATTCGAGGAAATTGTTTTAAGAAATGTGTGAGAAGTGCTATTCGCAGACAAAGGGCTGGCGAATTCCAAGATGCTAACTAAAAAGTTGCCATCACCTTCCTTGCTTGTAGGAAGGCCGAAGGAAAAAAAATGACATGGGAGGCAGGGCAGGCCACATTTAGGTTCCTTTGCTGAATGAAGTTGCCTCCCTTTGGAACCTGTTAAGCTCTTCCTGAGCTCAGTTTGCCCATCTGTGAAAGGGGAGTGTGGACTTTTTGCCATTAGGTGGAGCCAGAGGTCTAGCTAGTGCTTGGAGATCGCTGCCTGCGAACCAGCCCCCAGGGTGGAGAACTGACAGGTGGTGCGAGTGGAGCTTGGGCTGGTTTGGGGCCTCGGTTCTAGTTGCACGCAGCCTGATCCGGCAGCCAGGACCAGAATCCCAAAGAACCTTCCCATGTAGCCGGGAGTCGTTTATTTTCCCGCCTTGGGGTTGCTGAGCCCATTGGTGAGCTGCAAATCTACACCCCTATCAATTAACACAGCAACCAGAATAAAAGAATGCACCTTTGCTGGAGCGGCCTCGGAGCGTGCAGTTTGAGGCTTCGCAAGCGGGCTCCCCGCAGGGCTGGGCGAGATGACAGCCCCGGGAAGGAACTTCCTTGCATTGGAGATTGATACCCCAGGGAGTTTTTCTCTGGAGGGGGTGCAGGGTCTAGGCTAGGGGAGCGGAAAGGGACTAGGTTATGTTAAATAAAGCCTGTATCCTATGGCAGCAGCCACTAAGGAGCTCCCCAGAATAAGCCAATGACATTCCTCGCTTGGCTTGAGCGGCTCAACGTCAGGAAGCCACTGGGGCACAGGTGAGTATGCTCCTACCTGTGAATGTTTGTCTTCTGGGGGAGGGCTGAGAAGCACCGGGTGGCTTGGAACTCTTTGTTCTGTGCACTTTAAAAAGATTGTGTGGCAGTTGCTTGAATCTGCCCTCTGGTTCTGCCACTCCCCTTTCCAGGGGTTCTGGGCTCCCCCCATTCTAAAAGACTCTCCATAGGAAGCTTACCTGTTGGTTAGGTTGAAGGATCCCACCCTGTGCGGTCAGGAGGTACGGTGGCTGTTTAAAGTAAAAGGATGAAGGTATTGGTGTTCCCTTGACCCTGCTGTGTGCAGTGGTAGCACCGTCTGTGGCTGCCAGCAGCCCCTTTCTGGACCTGTGCAGAGGACTCCTTGACCAGATGGGATCCTCTCCCCGAGTCTGCCTTGGAAAACTTCCCACCTCTCAGGCTGAGCTGTGAAATTCCAGGTCAGCAGTTGGGGAGGCTGTCTTCATCACTTACCCCTTCTGAACTGGTCATAGAGTGGGGCCTGCCTTCCAAAGCTTGTTCCTCTCCACCTTCTCTTTTTTTTGTAGTAACTCCCTTATTCTAATGAGAGACAGTGGGAGCAGCCACTGTGCACTTACTAATTAGCTGCTGAACTTCTTTGTAGCAGAGTTGCTATCAAGTGTGAGAAAAGAAGCCCTCCCTTACAGAGGATAAAAACCCCACAAACCACCATGAGGTCCATCCCAGGCATTTGGACTCAGCCTGATGATAGCAAGAGGGAGAAGACAGCTACTGCCCGCTCAGTGGGAGCACAGCAAATGAGCTGGGCCTTTTCCTGTTTATCTCTGACTGCTGCATAACAGCCTGTTTACAGGGCAGGAGCTTGAGCCGCAAATGTGAGCTACAGATCCTTGCAGTCTGATTTCAGGCAAATCTCTCAACTTTTCTGAGCTACTTTCCTGGGAAAGGGACTTACGGATATTGGAATGTGTCCCAACTTGTTTCCCAAGCATAGTTTTCCAGTGATGGAAAAATTCTATCCTTGGCTCAGGAACTGGGTGGAAGTGACTGGGTTTTTTAATTATTATTATTTGATGGTGGTGCCAGAAAAGGGCCGATTTGATTTTTCACATCCTCCACCCCCACTCCACACCTGTGTTGGGTCTGAGCAGCTCAGCAGCGCTAGACTGCTTTTGTTTTCATTTTAAACTTGAGGAATAGATAACCTTGGGTGCCTACCCTCCCCCCCCCGTTTCCGGTTTGGTGTTTTTTGGTTGGTTTGTTTTTGGTTTTTTATTGAGACAACTTCGTGTATTATGATGGGCTGTGAACGCATTGAAGGAAATCATCTTTGAGAGAGGGGAAAAAAAAAAATAAGAGGTGCTATCTGAAATGCCTCCAAGGAGGAAAGAAGGTGGGTCTTTGCCAAGGGTTTCTGGATGATGTGTTCCCCCACCCCCAACTAGTGGCAGTCGGGTTCCAGAGACTCCCGTGGGCTTCCTTCCATAGCCCCTCATCTTGCTCTCCACTGTTCATTTCTACCCATGTGGTCTGGGGTTATGGAGTGAGGAGAAGCCGTGAAAAGGGAAGAAAAAGTTCAGGAGCAGTTCTGAAACATCAACTAACAATCTGAAAAGAGGCTTCTCCAGGAGACTCTTACAGAGACCTTGGGGCCTTTCCAGCTCCTCCACCCACCTGAGGTCACCTGGAGCATTAGGGGATCCCAGCAGACCCTCCTGCAGCAGGAGATTCAGCCTTTCAGACTCATGTCTCCTGGCTTCTGTGGTTTAGGTTCCTGTTCAACCAAGTGTGTTCAGTTTTTGACTCATCTGTGGTCATTACGCAGTCCTCAGGAGCCCTGGTGACACAATGGTTAAGTACTCAGTTGCTGTCTGAGAGGGTGGCAGTGCGAACTCACCCAGTGGTTTTGTGGAGAAAGACCTGGCAATCCATTCCTGTGAAGCTTATAGCCTAGAAAACTCTATGGGTCAGTTCTACCCTGTCACATGGGGTTGCTATGAGCTGGAATTGTCTAGATATCAGCTAATAACATCCAGCCCTTTGCTGCGATCATGTTTCACATTAATTTGAAGGGGAGGCTACAGAGAATTTTTTTGGAAGTAGGAGTGGCATCCACTTCCTAAACAACATGCCTCTAGATACTATGAACTTTGATAAATGTTGATAGTTGTAGAGGGGACTTCAGGCCTTTTGTTCATAGGATCATTATGAGTCTTACGCAACTCGATAGCCATCAACAACAGAGAATTTGGACTGGTTAACGCATAGCAGAAATTTCTAGCCAGCAAACTTGGCCACAGTGCAAATGGGTGAAGGGAACGATGTAGGGGAAAGTGCAGAAGGAGAAGGGGACCATGCATTCCTGTTGGAAATCTAGCACGTGGTCAAAATTCCGAGGTCTGGGATGAGTGCCTGAGCATAGGTGTGAGCCTGTTTTGCCCTGGAGCATGTTAGAAGGCAGCAGACGGGAGGAAATTGCTGGAGCTTGCCTCTTCTTCCACCCCATGTGCAACCTGAGGGATTCAGCTTTTCCTGAAAGGTAAGGTCTGGGTACAGACCAAAGGTCTTCTCCTGGACTCCTCCCTTACAAAACACCGGCAGATCGTTTCCACTGGAGCTTCTTAAGGCTTTCCACTCCCCATTCCTGAATAAAGATGGGGTGCTCTGGATTATTCCATCCCTGGTTGCATGTGCTTTTGACTCTAGACTCATCTGATCCCAGTTCATGTGCTTCTATTTATACCATACCCTTCATGCCTGCTCAGAGTGAAGAGCAGCAGAAGCAATTAGAAGCCAAATTGCTGAGACATTCACAACCGTATTCTCCGTGATTCTCTCGCTGCCTCACAGCCTTTAGTGGTGGTCGCAGGTGGTTCAGCCCCCACCACGGGCCCCAGTCGGCGCTGGCAAGGGGCCATATGGTCAAGAGCTATAGGACAACTTCACTGGAAAAGGCACTGTTCTAAACTCAGAAATATGTCATGCTTAGAAAAGTCTCTGAAAATGTATGTGCACTGTTTAAAATATAGTTACAAAACAGACACCCATCTGTTAATTTTTGTTGTTGTTGCTTACTTTCAAGTTGGAATCAACTCATAGCTGACCCTCCAGCAGGTTTTCAGAGGTAGTTTCATCACCCAGGAGGAGATTGCCCATCTTTCTCCTGAAAGAAGTTCATAGATTTGAACCTCCTGCCTTAGCGATTGCAATGCAGCTCCTTACCACTAGGCCACCAGAGCTCTCTCACCTCAGTTAAGAAATAGAACATTGACAAGACCTGGAAGCCCCTATTTGGTTTTCTACTTTTATTTTTTTTCTCCATTTTTTCCAGTTTTAAGGCACAGGATTTTAGTCCTATTTCTAGGTCTCAGTTTCTCCAATTTTTAAAAATATTTTCTAATTTTTAAAAAATTTTCAATTATTATTAATTTTAATGAAAATTTATGGAGACTTTGGATTTCCATTCAGTCATTGTTATACTTTTCTTCCTGGCCACCCCTCCCCCCACAGTACACTCTTTTCTTTGAAAGGTAAGAGAAAAATTCTTTCATTGTTTTACAATCCCTCCCCCCAGGTCCACTCCACTATGCAGCCTTCACTGAAGACTCCTGTCATGACAATACTACCTAATCACGTATCCCTTTTAAAAAGTCTTCTCTCTCATCTGTTTCAATGCAGTATACATTATTTATCCCATCTTTCTCAGTCTCCCCCCAACATCGAGGTCAGTCCTGTTTTACAACAGTGGCACCATGCAGTATTTGCCTTTTTGTGACTGAGATATTTCACTCAGCATAATGTCCTCCAGTGTCACCTATTTTGAATAATATTGTATGAGTTCCTTGTTTTTCAATGCAGCGTAGTATTCCATTATGTGAATATACCACAGCTTCTCTATCCATTTATTTGCCGATGGGCACTTAACGTTGTTTCCAACTCC